GATGCTGGGCCATCGTCAGACCATTACAGCTATCTAACATAGTCACCATCGCTGCCATGGGAGACAAGTTCAAGGGAGCGATGAGTGATGCAAACTCTAGGTACGCCTGCCAGGCTTGGCTTCCCTGCCCAGGTGGGCTGAATGTCATCCATCCATCTTTGCCTTTGGCAGCTCACAGGCACCGGCTTACCTGATGCACTTTCTACGGGAGCTACGGGTCTGTCCTGTTATGGTATCAGTGATGGATGACACAGATGTCTCCCAGCAGCAGTGGCAGCCTGGGCAGCTCCTACATCTCCCTTCGCCGCTGCCACTTGCTGCAGGTCTTGTGCTACACCCTCCCTGTAGCACTACAACCGCCTGTGAGACTGGGTGGGGAACTCGGCTGGGTTAAAAATAACCCTTTCTTCTGCTGGGTTATTTTTAACTCGGATCAGTTCCTCGATCCAGGTCACCATGTAGCAGCATGACTAGTCATGCCAGGATGTGCCAGTGTATTTGTGGGGTGGAAACAAATAGCTGGAGGAGGGAGAAAGCCTGATTTGGGGGAGAAGCTCCTAGGAGCCTTCTGAGCAGGCATGGTGTGTGTCTTCACCCAGGGTCTCCAGCTGGAGGGGTGCTCAAACGGCTTTGTGCTGTGTGGTGAAGACACCCAGACAGCATCCAAAGTGCAGCGCTTTGTGTTGCTGGTTTGTGGTTTGGGAAAGCTGGATGGTAGAACCTCTAAACCAGTCAGAAGTTGGACAAAGTACCTCATCACTGGCTTTATCAGCTGCTTTGCTCATGTGGTGCGTGTGGGCTTCATAGAAAGCTGGTGATACGCCAGTTTACAGTATGATTTTGTGAACTTTACAGTGTACGTGTATACCTGATATCCTCTATGGTATCTAGGATCAGCTGTTAGACGCTGCAACTCATGCTTAAGTGTATAAAGTAAACAGTTTAGATTAGGTGAAAATGGAATTGTTCCACAGGCTGATTAAGTATGAGCTGACCACAGGAGCGCTTGCTCGGCAGGTTTTCAGGCTGAAACAAGACTGCCGTGGGTAGTTGCCTGGGTATTCCAGAGCAGGGCTTATAAACCAGCCCAGGTAGCAAGCGGGAGATTTTGAGGCTAGGTTAGCAGTAAATAAGGACTAGGAAGCATCATGCAAAGTAAATGAGGGAGACGGAGGAAAATCGGCTGCTTGTGCATGTGCAGGAGTCAGCCAGCGCAAGTCAGGTCATGAGCCCTCAGAGCTGGTACAGCAGCAGGGAAGTTACTGCCCAGAAGAGGAGATCCCAAGCCAAGACAAAGCCCAGCAGCGACAGGAGCGACCTGTTCCCAGACCAGCCTTCCTCAGACCGCAGGGCAGCCCTCAGAAATGAGGGTGATGCTGGGAGGCACCAGCCCCAGTCCTGACAGCAAAGATACCTTGACTTTCCTGAGGAAACCAGAATAAGCAGCTGCCAAGATATCCAGTTATTACACTTCGACTGGAATCATGTTGTCACACCTGCCCTACCTACAGCCTTTTGTTTCCAATCTTGTAGCCAAAACTCCTGCCTGAATTCTTGCTGAATAAACCATTGCCTTGTTCTGCCATTAAGGCTGCCCGGTGTTGCAAAGGGAGACAAAGGTTCTGCTACAAAATTACCAGAGCAAAATGAAGAGCTGTAACATCACCCCAAGGGGACTGCGCCCCAAGGCATGTTCAGGGCCAGACACATGTCCTTACCCCATGCTGTGTTTTGGAAAGAAGCTTCTGCTGCCAAGTATGTCTTGTACCCTACCCCATTTCTTTCTACTGCAGAGAAATTAAATACCAGCTATAACTGCAGGCAAATCCCCAAGCTTCCAAGAAGCAAACTCTGAAAAATGTGATCTAAACAGAAACTGGAAATTGGAATGGCATTTTGGATGGGATCTTACTGGAAACTTGTCTTCTCAGAAGCGGATCCGTGGCAGCATTGTAAATAAACCTTGTAAATTCCTCACCTTTCTGAAAGGTGGCTGGCAAGGAAGTGGTACATAGATGCATTTTTTGTTTATTACATATTTTGAAGTAAAATTTTAAAAGTTTAAATTTTCAGTTTAAATTGTGTTGCCAGGTGCTTATAAGGAAGCCCCATCTGAACCCTTAAATAGGTTTGGATGCATAGGAGATATCCTTCAGATAGGTCTCGGAAGACCACAGTAAAGCATGTCTCAAAATCTTGCTGCTCAAGAGTGCCAGAATAAACCCTTAGCAAACTCATCCGTGTTCCCGAATTTTTTTTTGCTCCAGAAGCCGCTCCAGTATATCAGGACGCTGTGATCAGCACGATGGCAGTTGACACAGTGGGGACCATATTGCTAATCTCCCCATTTTGCAGAATACATGTGTTCTGTGGAGTATTTTCTGCTCTGAATCAGGATGTTTGGGACTTCAGATCAAATGTTCTTACTGAGAGAGTCAGCCAACTAATCTCCATGCCAGGAAATTAAGCCATCTGATGTCCCGAGGTGAAGCTATAGGAGGGTGTATGAGTCCAGAACAACTCGAAATCTGTTTTCTAAATAAATCCTCCTTGGTTTGGAGTCTTTGAACAGGATGGGCAGAGTCCCTATTTTCTACCTCAGTCAGTATTGCCTTGTTTTTATTTTCAGACCTTATCAGATGGATAAATACAGAGTCTGCTACTTACAGTTATCTTTTTACACGCTTTTATCTTTCTAAGGCAGTTTGCGAAAAACTCTATGTGCTGTCTGAAGGCGAGAGAATAACACTTAATACTGGGAAGTTGCAATTTGTGATTCTACCTGTGGATCTTGTGTATTGCAATACTGGAAATAAAGATCCTGGAGACCAAGAGAAACATGTGGCATTTGTTTGGCTCCAAGACTAAACTGCTATTGGCAATGACATTGACCTCAAACAAATGAAAACTTTCAGCTAGATGAAGTCTTTTAAAATTTTGTCTTGCGAGCACAATAGGTCTCTGTCCTCCCATCTTCTGGAGAATAAGGAAAGTCCAAAAGTAAAAACCCTCACCTCTGAATTTTGAAGACATTTCTTCTGCCTTGAAGCTCACTTCTGAAAAGAGTACCTCCGTAAGATAAGTAAGAGCATAGGAGCTGCTGGCGTAGACAACTCATGCTTCCAATGGCAACACAGTGGGGGTGGTACCAGAGACCAGACAATTTCCAAATGGAGAGGTGTGAGGAGAAGATTTATAGGACTTTGTATGCAAATATGAGGTGTCAGTAAAATTTGATAGAGAGCTGTCTCTCCCTTTGATGGAGGGAGTTTTTCTTTTATGAAATTCCGAAGCTGTTATCGTGGTTTGGGCCATTCCCAAATGATTCAAGCAGATGTGCCAGGACCAGGAAGACTACTGAGGCCATTGTTTATAATGGTCTTATTTAGAACAAAACCATCATTAGGCCACTTCTCATTTAACTGCAGCCATTGAAAACTTCAGTTTCTTCTCTAGGTCTGTCATCTTGGATCCCAGTCACTGTCCAGAGATAATTATATTCCTCCACTGGCTACAGAAGGCCTCACATGATTATCTTAGTGTGGTGACACACAAGTTGGTCAAATCTGTTTGCTGCTGGTCCCCAAAGGGGAAGAAGATTCTGTTCCCTCCTATCAGTTCTGCTGCTGACTCCAGTTTCCATGTCAGCTTACGTTGTTCAGCTCTGGCATCCAGCAGAACCCTCCATAGGCCTGCTCAACTCAGGAACCCAGGAGAAAATTAAAGGCATCAGAAAACTGTGCACAGCTGTCTGCCAATTTCATGAGCTGAACTGGTCCAGGGAAGAGCCTAGTGAGTTGCTGAGCTGGTCCTATGATGTTACACCACCATGATAAGATAATACAGATACGTAAGAGCAGTGAGGTCACCTGTTTGTGGTTTTTCATAGGAAGCTTGGATAATTTTGGAGCAATTTGGACAACTTGAAGAAGCAGGATGTAGATCCCCCATAGGGTGGACCTGCTTGGAGTCTGATAGGGGATTTCTGTCCTTAGGAACCAATTGTTCAGGGTAAACATGCTGAAATCTCAAGCCATATTTCTGTTGGTTTGTATAAGGTCTCAGAGGACAGCGGGTATGCATGCGTGGCTTGCGCTGGCACAGAGACCAAAAGAGCTAAGTTTGTTCGAAGCTGAATACATACTTCTGGTATTCTGGACTACTGTCTCTGCAACTAGGAGGTCCAGTTAAGGACCACAGAAACAGCAGATCTGCTAACTGGGCAGTCTCCACAACCAAAGCTGAACCTGCAGGATGTGGGGATGAGGCATCTCAGCAGCAAGAGGCACCGATGGTGAGGTCAGGTCGTCTCTGCCTCACTCCATACACAGCTCACGGGATTGTGTTCAATGCCTGCGTGAATGTCAGCAGCACCATTTGGGGTTCTCAAACCATCTTTATCTGGAGAAATTGGGAGGATTTATGGACTCTATGTTGTAAAGGGCTTGGAAAGGAAGACCTCTGTCTTTTTTGCCTTTGAGGTTTACACTCTTTCTTCCCCTTATCACTAGAAGTTTTGCCAGAGCAGAGAATGGATTTCACCATCAAAACATTAGACAGCTGTGTAAAAGAAAGAGGAGAAGTATTTTTCCAAAAAGGAAGCTCAGATGTTTCTGCCCAAGGCAATTCAGGATCAAAAGAAAGGCACATTGATTTCTCAAATAAAAGCATTTTCAAATGAGAGTCCCTTACTCTTTGGAGTTTTTTAGAAAATGATTTGCAGATGGCACATCTCTCTGCAGTGTGACTTCTTCTTCCAGACGCAGCGAGCATTTAGCATGTCCGCAGTTTGGAGGCATTGCAGCCTGAAGATTTATGTTCCGATTTAGTAAATGAACATATTACGGTGAGTACCTCCTAGGTAAATAACAGCAGTTTCCTTATGAAACGATCAAAGGAAATGCTAACAAAACCCTGCCACCGGCACAATACAAAGTACCCATTTATCAACTATCTGCAATTATTTACACAAGAAAGTCCCACAGAGCCCGAGGAGACACATGGTGCCAGCTGTGACGCATGGCCACGTGCACCTGGAGCTGAGGGGCAGTGAGAGGAGCCCAACCTCTGTGTCCCCTGGACACAAAGGTACGTGAACGGGCATTGGTGCTGTTCTGGGGATGCTGCTCAATGAAAAAGTGTGCTCGTCCATATAGATCAATAGCAAAATGCATGGATTTGGCAAAACATTCAGAGAAGCACACCTTTCAGAAATAGAGGCAAAATCTTTACATCCTAGCTACAGCTTCCAGATGTATCTTAGAGCACCTAGAAATTATTACTGAAATGAAAATCATATTTCTTTAGGGGGCTCTATGTCCTATCTTTGTCAGCTGTGTTCTCACCATGATTTATGTACATAACTTTTGCTCAGTTTAACGAGTAAAAGCTATGCATGTGAAAAGATGAGATATATAATTCTTGAGGTTAACCATGTCCAAGTCCTGCCAGGTGTAAAACTAAGTTTGCTTTAATAAGAGTTGTTAAAAAATAATAAATTGTCTTAAAGCTATACCTTTGCCTTAACAACTGTCTTGTGAAAAGGCACTCTACATTTTTTATTATTTGTGCATTCATACTGAATGAGTACCAATAACACACACAGACATACACACGCAGTGGTTGGAGCACTTCAGTAAATGGCAGTATGGCACAAGGAGACAATTAACAGCAGCGATTTATAGATGGCGTGTCTTGAAGTGTGCCTGGTCACATTTTGGGATGTTGGTTCAGTGCTTAACACAACAGGAGGAGGGCCTCCTGCTGAACCAGCAGAAATACCTTCTTCTCTGCATAGAAACTTGGGGTTTCACTCTAGGTCTTCCCTCCAAACACTAACCCAACTTTCTATTGTGTGTTTCTGTGAAATGAGGTCGCAGTCTCGAGGGTGGCGTGACATTCGTGTGTACGCACTTCAGACTGCTCCAGCAAGAATATATGCCCATGCTTTTGGAAAAGGATGCATTTTTTATTTCAGTGTGAAAACCCTTATCAACATGCTAGCACATGTGGAGTCTCAGGAGACTGTTTGGCAGGAGAATTATATAGAAAAAATTATACTACACCCTATTGAGAAGGGAAATCTATTACAGGTGGGTTAGGTAGAAAAATCTGAGCACTATGTCACTAAATGATTAAAAACACCCCTAGCAATACTGTCTTGGTGCACAGAAGTAGTAAGAACACAACCGAAAGCCCAGTGTAGGTAGCAGCAAAGTGGCCACTGAGTTCGAGGTTTCTGAATCAGGACCGCTTTTGGAATTAAAGAGGGTTTGTAGCTGGATAAGCCAGAAAAAAATGTGTTTTCACCATCAAAATTCTTTTCACCATCAGTAATGAATTTGTTGACAGGTAGCATGCAGAACTGGATACGGACATTGCCTATACATGAAAGATTTAACCAAAAACTACAACATACACCCTTTCAAAAGACTGTATGACAAAAATAAACATCTACAATGAGAATAAAAGCACCTCTGAGCTCCACAATTCCTCATTTTTCAAAGGAGACCTATATAAGAAAATTTACAGCTGAAAATTTCATGGCTATGCTCTCATAGACTTAGTCTTAACCAAGAATAACATAAGCCCCGTTGTATCCAGAAAAACAGCTTTAAGTAGCAAAGCAAAATAATTAGCAGGCTGGTTTCTCCACCACATAAGGCAGTTGCAAAGATTTATAGACTAATATTGCAGGCTGGAATTTTTCAAATTTAAACTACAGCTACCAATGAAAGGTAAGTGTTTCAGCAAAAGAGAAAATAATTTGAGATTATATTTGAAAAAAAAAAAAAAAAAAAAGAAACCATTTGTAGTTTACAGAAAGAAGTACCTTTGAAAAACGACCTGGGGGTTGTAACTATGCACAATTGTTCTTATAGGAGCCAGCAGTTGGAAAGTAGCCGGCCTAACCTGTTTCTCCTGAATGCAAATTCTTCACTGACGCAGTGGAGCGGGGTTGTATAATGTCCGTGCTGGAAAGGGATGGGCAGCAGCCGAAGGAACAGGAGTCTGGCAACCCTGTAAGCAAAGTTAAAACCCCTGACTGATCAAACGCCCTTTCGTATCCAAGGCAGGGAGTAAAGTGTTGAGATCAGGAAAGCCAGAAACTGTAGTTGCAGCGGTGAAGTAACTCTAGAGCTGAGGGGAAATGGGCTGGTCTTGTTTTACTGTTGTCTAATTCTGCTGGGTTTGCTATTTCTATGGAGAAAATGCAGTGCAAGGACAGGAACAACCATATCACTATTCCTATTTTGCTTCTTTTGTTTGAATGTTTCATCTTTTCTTATTTAACACGCGAAGTGCAGAAAAGTGGTCCTTTTTGCTCCACTTTTCAAATTTAGTTAACTCATCTTCAATTATGTCTGACAGACACCTGGTTTCAGAATTTTGTTCTTCCAATCGTACTCTGTACAAGTGGACTTGAGCTTATATGCGGTACCTTACACTCCCATCTTGCACTCCCAGTTTTTGCTTCTATATAGCGAGAGTCGGTCCTGAAATCAAGTACGTCTCTAAACCTGCTATGATCTCTGCGCAAATCAGCACTCGATCCCCAATAAAGGTATGTTTGTTTATCGTTACGAATACACCACAATTCAGGGACACCTTGTTTCAAAGCTTATAGCCTTTGGGGACATTTAGTCTACCATAATAAACAAGATCCTTTTCAGTGAACCATGCCTGACAATGCTGAAGTTAATTTTAGCCACTTGCTGTCTCCATAAATCTACAGTTTAGGTTCTAAATCATGTGTTCTGTCCCAACAGTCTCGATGAAAAACGATAAATGTTTTATTTCTAGACTTGAAATAAAACTTACAACAACAGCATTCTGTATTGTAACTTTGTAGTCGATTATCATCATTCTTACTCAGAGTGAAGTTAGATGTTCCCAGCCTGTATTTATGATCAAGGATGCTTCAGAATAATGTATATAAATTGAGTTTTATTGATCATTGAACATCTGCTGGCACTTAAGTATGTGGACACATAAGCATGAACATAAGCCTTGCAAGTTTGCATTTTTTGATGCTCATAAAATTATAATTTATAATCAAGTACACAGTGTTATGTTTTCTTTATCACCTTCATAAAGATAAAGTAATGTAAGCAGGAGCTTGGATTACAAGACCGTTACAAGATTGCAAAGACTTAGGATTTTATGATTTATGGAAGAAAAATTTCATTATTTTTCCCTTACATCTGACACCATTTAATTGCATTTTGCCTGCTGTGGTAGAGGAGATGTGCCAAACTGTGATTATTGCAAACAAAATTGGAAGTGCTATAAAATACTGTTTTCTTACAGCACATCCATTGTCAAAGGTGGTGAGCAAATGGCTTTGCACAACTTTCCGATCACGCAGTTTCCACCCATCCTTTCCAACACTGACTAATACAGAACACACGCTTGCGCTGATGCAGACATTTTTATAGTATGTGCGCTTCATATACAACTGTCGCTGATACTCAAACCCTTGTGTGCACATACAGCTTGAGCAAGGAGTCAGGAAGGGGAAAAGGGTAGTACTGGAGAGAAATAAAATCAGAGGATGTGCATTCCTTACGGGTGTGGGTACGAAAAGGTCTCTGCACATGAGACGGATGCTGGGAAATTATGTGCTTGTATGAAAATGTGGGTCATCAGAACAGAAAGCAACGCCGAAGAAAGAGCCTTTGTCTTGTTTCGCAGAGTTATCAAACCTCTTTCATGTGGTCCAACCTGATAAAATTCTCTCTTTATTTCCGAAGTCAAATGTGAGCTAAACCAAACACGCTGGCAGCATGGAAGCAGTAATATTGGCCCCTCTGAGGTTCCAGATCGGCTCCTCTGCTGGCATAGGTCAGCTCCAGGTTCGAGCAAGAGGATTCCTGAAACACGTGTTCAACACAGGTTTTGCTAGGTAAGGGTTACCAAGAAAGTCAAAGTGTACTGGAAGATGTAAATGAGAGAGGCTCTGAGAATATCATAGTTTCATAGGGGTCTGGGATACCTGAAGTGAAGACAGAAGAGGCTTATATTCAAGATGTAGGTTTTTTAAGAAATGGTGGCCTATAACAAGTGTCACACTTAGCTGGCTAAACCAGACTTTAAAACATTTGAGTAAGATGATCTTTCATGGATAACAGTTAACAATCCTCCATCTTAGATTGTTAGAATTGTTAGAGTGTAAAATGACTGTGAAAACCTATTACATGCCGTTGCCCATGTTTTTAATGAGAAATTCACCCTTTAATCACCATTATGACAATGCTGACGATTTCCCAGGGTATTTCTTCCTCACGCTTTCTCTTCCCTGTCTCCACATGTCCAATGCCTAATCACTATTGCTCGGGAACTAAATGCTGCAGATTTAAATACTATAGACCAAGGTAAAGAGGTTCAACACGGCATCTTGACATCTTGACTCCTGCACAGCCAACTCCTACACCAAGGTTAGGGAGTGTGTCACTGAATGGTCTCACTAGAGGGCAGCCGATAAAACCGCTGGTAATAAAATTGCAAAAGCTGATTGTTTCCTTTCTTTTTTTTTTTGCCTCTGGAGTGTGATGGGATATAAAATTTGACTCCTGAAATTGCTGCCAGCAGCTCTTCCTCTGGAGCTTTGTGTTTGTTGTTTCCACGTAGAGCTGAAGAGGAGCATGCAACTCACCACTTTAGCTCTGTGGGACTCTGCAGGTCTGATGGAGCTGGAAAATCTTTGTGAGGCTTTGAAAAAGCATGAACATGAGGCAGCACTTGATGCTGAACAGGATAATTTTTCCTTCCTACCCTCACTTCTTTTTCTTGACTCCCTAAAGGAAGCATCACAACTTGAAACAAAACAAGCATAGTGTGATATGTAGAGCAATCTGAGTTACTTGCCATAAAATTGCTTAAGTAGTTATTAAGCTTCAAATGTATCACAGTATTTCTTTTTTTTTTTTTTCCTGTAGTCCTTGTGATAAATTGCAATCTTAAGTGCCTCAAGGTCACCTCAACTCTGTTTTTTAAATGCTTCCCAGTACCTGTCCTATCCTGTAACACCAAAAAAGAAGTATGCTATATGCTTTCCAGAGAAACACAAGAACAAGATCCCAAGAGCTTCCAAGATAAATACATTCTCTGAATTCCATACATTCACTACGTAGTTTTTATTAGGCCAAAAATTTGCTTACAAGATTTTGTGTGGTTCTGAGCTGAGATACATTTTCTATCCCTATAAAAATGTCTTCATTTACTTGATCATATATCACACAGCTATGCAAAAGAAAAAAAAATTAAGCATGTGTTTTCTCCACTCTTCATGTACCAAGAACAATGTCTATCAAAAATAGTCCTTTAAAACATAAACTATTTCAGAAATAAATGCCACTTGATGTTTATAAAGTGCATTCCTCTGGCTGTGGCTGTTAAACACTCTGCTCGATGCAGAAGTTCATGTTTTAAGTAATTGTGACTTTGCCGAAGGCGACTAAATGTGTCAGGACCTACTGTAATGTCTTAAATCCAATCCTGGTTTATGTTACATATTCAAACCACCCATTTTCTTCAAAGGCAAAGATGGACAAAAAATGCTAAGATGGAATCTGATAGATAAAGGTACATCAGAAGAATCTTGTTGATGAAATAAAATTTATTGAAGAAGTTTCCATTTCACATCAACACAGTAAACAGTGTTTGGTTTTCAGTACCAATTAATATAGCCCAGTGAGCAATTAAACACAAATTTTCTCCTTTTTGTGTTTGCATAACAGCTGCACTTAGTTTGCAATTTCACCAGATTTATTCTTTACCCAAACGTAGTTAAGATTTTTTGCTCATGAGAGTAGTAACTTGAGTCTTTGTTTCTTAATCAATTAAGAATGCTCGGTCCTTTTTGTTGCGTGTGCATGTGTGTGTGTGTGTGTTGCTCACACAATTCCTACTAAATTGATTTTGCCCATGATTACAAAGGTCCTGTAATACTGGCTCTTCTCTCTGGTTGGGTGATCCTATTTCATCCATCAGGGGAACAGCCTGAAGATACTATCAAAACAGTAGTTTATGGAGCAGAAACGAATAATACATGATTGGAGATTTCATAAAATGTTACATTGTTTTCCTCCTTTCCTCCTTTCCACCCCACAGACTTTCTCAAACCATCCCCCTTACACCAGGAAATGGTAAGATATGTTGACTGGGAGAGGAGTTTAATTGCATTCACACAAAATAATTGAATGTGCATGCAGAGTCTGGCTTTAAGGGGTACAGTCAGGCTCTTATCTGATTCACCTAAAGGCCTCCTTGATAGGGAATTGGCAATGAATTTCAAAAGCCTAGTTGCTGCCACGTCTCAAGCAGTTTTCCACCCTGAGGCAGGACTGAGTCAGAGGCAGGGTTAAGATTGTTCAGAAAATACATAGTGCGATATTTTTGGCATGTGCATTTGAAAGATCTTGAAAAGTTGAGGTCAATAGCTTGCTGATTTTTTTTTTTTGTAAATATTTAAATTTTTTTTAGCTGTAGTACTCGTTTGGTACATGGGAGACTCTATCGTATGTTTACTAGAAAGCAGAGTGTCAGGGACTGCTGCTTTGCCTTTAATTGCTTTTGTTCTTAGAAAGACGAGGATAATGCAAAGCCTACCAAAGTCTCTACCATCTCTCCAACTGTGACTGTGGCAGTAGCCCAGGGGATACCACTAAGGAGGGTTAAAAACTGATCAGTCTGCCTGGCTCCATCCCTCAGCTGCCCAACCATGTGGAGCTTACGATTTGCTTCCAGGACCAGCTGCAATAATTCAATGTGTGTAACAGCATTACAAATTCAGGGATTTATTTTTTTTTTACAAATTATTGTCGCCGTAGTAATACTGCACTGTAGGACTGTAGCAATAACAGTTCTCTTTAGTCATGCCCAATCCCTCCTTCTCCCCTTCTCTTGACCTTACCTTGCTAAGGCACAACAGCCCTACGGGGAATGACACCCCATGCCAAAGGAATCCTTCCCCGTGTCCAAGGGCCCCTTCCACACAGCTGGGACAGGGCGTTTCGGCACAGCCCATGGCTCAAAACAGTCTGACCTGTTTCCCTCATGCAGGAAAAATGGTTTCATATAAACAGACCAGAACTCAAGCTAAAGCTTCCACGTGCATTCAGCCTGTTCAGGTGCTTACTTTCCATCAGAAAGGTTGGGGCCCTACCACATCCAGGGCGGTGCTCAGGCTTAGGCTCAACTTTGTAGGACCTCAGGGCTAACACCGCCCATCTCCATACAGCCGGGGAACAGAGTCTCCCTGTGCCAGTTCCCCCAGAGACCCTGTTGATTTCGGGTGCGAAGACTTCTGCCACGTGCAGATCCAGATTTGGGCTTCCACATGACTTGGTGGCCGGGCAGAGTTTCTCCATGCATAGAGCAAGTCAGTGGCCAGAATTAAAAATAAAACACAGTAGCCTTCACTACACAGCTCCACACCTGGAAATATTGACACGTGTCCTCAGAAGAGGGGCCTTACTGGCTTGGCTGGAGCACGAGGTGACGCTACCTCCCAGCTTCACGGCAGGAGAAGGAATGGCTCTCCGCTAAGCATGTTTCATTAAC